AATATTCTGAAAGAGAATAAAGAGTTCTAGAGTTCTTTACTAAAAAAACAAGAGTTCTGCAAAATTTCAAAAGTTATTAACAAATTAAAAAAAGATATGAAAATAATATTTTGCAAGTTCTGAATAGAGTTCTGGCATCGTTGCGAAGAGTTCTATAAGTATGTCTAATGACATTTTGTTCTAAATCCAAAATCAAAAAAGTTACGGGACTATGAAGTTTTCTAAAATTTTCAAAATTTAAAATTCAGAGTTCTGAGAGTTTTGTAAAGAGTTCTGGCATCGTCATAAAGAGTTGTATAAGAATTTCTTGTGACATTTTGTTTTAAATCCAAAATCAAAAAAGTTACAGGACTTTGAAGATTTCAAGAAATTAAAAAAATTAAAAATTCAGAATTCTGAGGATTTAATGTTTAATAATTTTGGGACAATCATGTTGCACTTTCCTCAAACAGTTAAGTCCTGTAACTTTTTTGATTTTGGATTTAAAACAAAATGTCACTAGAAATACTTATACAACTCTTTATGACGATGCCAGAACTCTTTACAAAACTCTCAGAACTCTGAATTTTAAATTTTGAAAATTTTAAAAAACTTCATAGTCCCGTAACTTTTTTGATTTTGGATTTAGAACAAAATGTCATTAGACATACTTATAGAACTCTTCGCAACGATGCCAGAACTCTATTCAGAACTTGCAAAATATTATTTTCATATGTTTTTTTAATTTGTTAATAACTTTTGAAATTTTGCAGAACTCTTGTTTTTTTAGTAAAGAACTCTAGAACTCTTTATTCTCTTTCAGAATATTAGGTCAGAACTCTTTTTTGCAAAAATCATAGTGCTATGCAAAGTTAGAACTATGATTTTTCATTGTCGCTTTTTTTATTGTTAATCATCAGAACTATTTAAATAATCGTTAGAGAACTCTAGAACTATTACCAAAGTGCCTAGAACTCTTGTAAAATTTTTGATTTTTCAAAAAAGTAGTGCCAACTTTACATGACTGAATAGTTCTGATAATCCGAAGTCATAAACAAATAATTGAAAACACGAGAATTTTTCAAAAAATCTAAAATGTTACGTTACAAGAGTTCTAATTAGAGTTCCGTTAGCCCCCCATCTAGATCAATAAAAAACTCTTATAACAATTTTTTCAAAACCTAAAAACTACAAAACTACAAGACTTTTATGTTTTAAAAGAAATTTTTTTTTTTTCAATTGAAAGTTCTATGAGTTCTAATCAGATTTCTGTGAGCCCCCAATACTGTTCGATAAAATAACTATAATAGGTAACAATTTTCTTAAGACCCAAAAACTACTGAATTACAAGACTTTAAAGTTTCAAAAAAATTCATTTTTTTGTTAAATTTAGAGTTCTAAGAGTTCTGATGAGAGTTCTGCGAGCCCCCAATAGTGTTCGATAAAAAACCCTGAAACCAATTTTTTCAAAACCTAAAAACTATTAAACTACAAGACTTTTATGTTTCAAAAGAAATTTGGTTTTTTTAAATTGAAAGTTCTATGAGTTCTAATCAGAGTTTTGTGAACCCCAAATCTTCAGACAACTACCAATTGCTTGGTCAATAAGCTTTGTTTTACATATATAATTACGCACCATTATGTATATCAACCTAAAAAGAACAATTAAACACTTTTTTAAAATTTGCAATGGCATTAACAGGATTTTACCGTGCCGTATTATCTCTATAACTATCCTTGCCCCTTGAGCGCATATTTCAGTTTTTTTTAAATTTTAAGGAACGACGTGAATTAATTTGAAAATAAATACAATATTCGTGTTCAGCAGGAAATTCCACTCCGAAAAACACTTACGTAAATAAATATTCTGAAACTCTAATATAGAAAACAATATGATAAACATAACGTTGACATTTTAGCAAAATAGACTATTTTCAAAAATAAACTCCTAACTTCGCAAATGTTGACAGATTGACTTCCAATTTTTACTATCATCTTTTGGTGTTAAAATGCGAATATACCATGAATTACTCGATTTTTGAGCATAAGCAAAAACTTACTATCCTTGCCCCATCCTCCCCTGTATAAAAAAATAAAAGTAAAAAAATATATAAAAATTTTAATAAACTATAAAAATTAAATTCATCAGCTAATGTCAGGGTATTTATTGACATTTGATTTTACCAAAAATTATCATACTGATGTCAGATTAACCCTTTAAGTTGTAGTTAAATAAAAGTCAAATTACACATAGATTATGACGTAACTAAATGAGAGAGTAAAAAATGAAACGTCAAAATTTGTTCAAAATGATAGGTGTAAGAGCAAACACAATTATAAAATTACCTTACATTGTTAGGTCAGATGGCAAACTTCACCTCATCATTAAGTCTGCGCGCGGAAATTGTTTGACAAATTTTGACGTCTAGGTCAAAACTGCCCTCAAACTTGACCTAAATTTTTAGGGTAGCGGGAATTCTTTGTCAAATTTTGATGCGTAGGTCAAAACTGCCCTCAAAATTGACCTACATTTTGAGGGTAGCGAAAATTGTTTGTCAAATGTTGACGTCTAGGTCAAAACAGTCCTCAAAATTGACCTAAATTTTTAGGGGAAAACTACAGGTCAACTCTCGACCTGTAGGTCAAAAAATCTTGAAACAGCGGCGGCGATATCTTTTTGTAATATAGAGAGATAATATTATATAATATATTATTATATATTATAATCAGCGACCCTAGAAACCTTAAGGTACCAAGTTTCATAAAAATCCATTAAAAATTTTTTCAACAAACTTTTGGCCCGAACAGTGGAAATCTCGTTGATAGCCAAGGGGTTAATTTGTTAATAACTTTCGAAATTTTGCAGAACTCTTGTTCTTTTGGTAGAGAACTGTAGAACTCTTTATTCTCTTTCAGAATATGAGAACAAAACTCTTTTTTGCATAAATAATAGTTCTATGCAAAGTTAACACCAAGTTTTTTCATTGTCGCTTTTTTTGTCAATCATCAGAACTATTTAAATAATAATCGTTATAGAACTCGAGAACTATTGCTAAAGTGCCCAGAACTCTTGTTAAAATTTTAATTTTTTTAAAAAGTAGTGCCAACTTTACATGACTAAGTGTTTGAACTTATTCAATTATTCAAAAACAAATTAATTTCAAACCTTAAAGTCTTGTAATTCAGTAGTTTTTGGGTTTTGAGAAAATTGTTATTAGGGTTTTTTCTCGAACTCCATGGGTGGCTCACAGAACTCTGATCAGAACTACAAGAACTCTTAATTTAAAAAAAAAAAATTTTTTTGAATCTTCAATGTCTTGTAGTTCAGTAGTTTTTAGGTTTTGAAAAAATTCTTATTAGGGTTTTTTATCAAACACTATTGGGGGTTCACAAAACTCTGATTAGAACTCATAGAACTTTCAATTTAAAAAAACCAAATTTCTTTTGAAACATAAAAGTCTTGTAGTTTAATAGTTTTTAGGTTTTGAAAAAATTGGTTTCAGGGTTTTTTATCGAACACTATTGGGGGCTCGCAGAACTCTCATCAGAACTCTTAGAACTCTAAATTTAACAAAAAAATGAATTTTTTTGAAACTTTAAAGTATTGTAATTCAGTAGTTTTTGGGTCTTAAGAAAATTGTTACCTATTATAGTTATTTTATCGAACAGTATTGGGGGCTCACAGAAATCTGATTAGAACTCTTGTAACGTAACATTTTAGATTTTTTGAAAAGGAAGGGAACTCTAGAACTCTATTAGAACAACTCAAAACTCTAATTATAAATCCACTTTTTCAATAGTGAGGGACTGCGTGAAGTTGGCCCCCTATTATGAAAAAACTTATTTTTTACTATTTAATTGCCGGAACTATTTCTAAAAACTATCAGGAACTCTAGAACTATTGAAGAAATGTTTTTTATAAATAAATAATTAATAAACAAATTTTGAATTGTGTTAATCTTTGAGCACTAATTGAGCACTAAATAATAGGCTAATTGTAAATATTCTGTTGGCGTTTTTAACGTGTTTTTCGTTATGGTCCGGCCAGCGGATCGCTGAGTTAGTAATAAGCTAATAAGTTAGTTTTTTAAATAAATAATTAATAAACAAATTTTGAATTGTGTTAATCTTTCAGCACTAATTGAGCACTAAATAATATGCTATTGATAACTATTTTGTTGGCGTTTTTAATGTGTTTTTCGTAATGGTGCGGATAGCGGTTCGCTCACTCATTTGAATAAGTTTTTCTTTTAAATAAATAATTAATAAAAAAAATTTTTTATTTTCTTAATCTGCGAACACTATTTGAGCACTAAATTATAGGCTAAGAAAACGAATTATAAAACGAATTTAAAACATTTTTAACGTGTTCACTCTTTCGAAGAAATGTTTTTTATAAATAAATAATTAATAAACAATTTTTTATTGTGTTAATATTTAAGCACTAATTGAGCACTAAATTTTAGGGTATTGATAAATATTTTGTTGTGATTTTTGACGTGTCTGTCGTAATGGTGCGGTTGGCGGATTAGTCACTCAATCGAAAAAAAATTTTTTTTAAATAAATAATTAATTAAAAAATTTTTTATTTTGTTAATCTTTGAGCACTAATTGAGCACTAAATAATAGGCTATCGATAAATATTTTGTTGGTGTTTTTATTGCGTTTTTCGTTATGGTCTGGCTAACGGATTACTCACTCATTCAAAAAATTTTTTTTTTTTAAATAAATAATTAATAAAAAAATTTTTTATTTTGTTAATCTTTGAGCACTAATTGAGCACTAAATAATAGGCTATTTATAAATATTCTGTTGGCGTTTTTAAAGCGTTTTTCGTTATGGTCCGGCCAGCGGAACGTTCACTCAGCAGAACCATTGTTTTTTTTAAATAAACATTGAGCACTAAATTCGGCAATATGGTACAAAAATAGCACTAATTGAGCACTAATTAATGGTATAATTTAAATTCATTTTTATAAAAGTGGTTCGGCCAGCTTCACAGACCTCTTTTTCCCTTGCAGTTTCAGAAAGTATGGACGTGGACGTGATTGGTCTCGCTCGAGGCGGAACGAGGTACAGCAGTACTAGTAGTTTGAGTAGTGCAGCAACTGCCAGCTCACCCCAAACACTTCAAACGACGAGCTCAACTTCCAACATTCATAATCAAGTAGCCACCGCTGCGGTCGTCTGTCAGACACAAGGTTTGAACCTTGCTCAAGGTTCCAGAGAAAGTCCACCAGCCAGCTCTAGCCCTGGAGCATCCATGCCTAATATTTCTACCTCGATTCAGGTACCCTCAAAATTTATTTCCCCATCACGTGTCTCACACTTTTTTTTACTTAAAAAAAGATCAATTTTCATTTTTTTTTTTTTGAACGCTTTTTAATGTAATTCCCACAATTACAGTCGACTGAATTGTCGTTTCTTGTCGATAGCGATCAGGGTAAAAAAAAGATCATGTTTCGCACTGTTTTTGTTTTTAATTTCAAAAAAAGATCATTCCAAAGAGATCAAATTCGAATTGTATTTTTTTTGCACTCACATTGTTAAAAATTGAATTCCAACTTTACACCAAAAAGAATTGTTGTTTCGAACTCGCAAAGTGTGAATGCTCGTATTTCATTGAAATAAGAGGAAGATTCACCGATATTTTTAACATTAACAAGAAAATAATTTAAATATTTTGAATTTTTATTTTTTCTAAAAAATTGGTAAATTTTGAAATCCATGCGTAATTTTGCAGAAAATTATACTATTTCTGAGGTGTTTTTTTTTTAAATTTTGTTCTTAGACTGAAAATTGAAAAAAAAAATTCTAATAGTATTCAACTTGCGAATTTTCCATTTACTATTTTGCAAATTAGAAAATTTGACGTTTTCAAATAAAAACATAAATTTTTGAATAATTTCAGATTTAAAATTTTAAAAATTCATCTTTGAAATAATTTAATTGTTAAATAGTAAAACTTTTCGCTAGGATTCAATTATTTAAAAAAAAATTTTTAATAACATGTTTCGAAAGAATTCAATTATTTCCTAAATTTTTAATAAAATTCTTCAAAACAATCAATTATTTTCAATAAAATTTCTCGAACGACTTAAATTATTTTTAAAAAATGATAATAAATTGTTTCTAAAAAATTAAATTATTCTCAAAAGTTTTGATAAAATTTTTTGTAAATTTTTGATTATTTTCAAAAATTTCAATTAAAATCATTTTTAAAAACTATATTATTTTCGAGAAATTTAAAGAATTTCTTCAGAAAAATTTAATTATTTACAACTCTAATAAAATTGTTAAAAAGTATATTTAATTTTCTATAAATAATTTTAACAAAATTTATCAATAATATTATTAATTACAATTATTTATAAACGCGACTATTTTAAAAACATAAAAAGATTCTTCATAAAATTCAATTACTTTCAAAATTTTCAATAAATATTATGTAAAAATCCCATTATTTTAAAAAAATAGCACAAATTTTCTAGATACTTATTTTTTATTTTTTACATTAAAAAATTATGATCTAAAATTAGTTAGGAAAATAAACAAATGAATTTTCAAATAAAAAAATTCAACAACAGTGGTAGTTTTTAACATTTTCAATCTAAAAACAATGTTTTGTTCTAAAAAAAAAGATGATTTAAAACTATTAAAAAACAATTTTTTGTTCGTCAATTTTTCTTCTTTGATAAGAAAAAACACGTTTTTTTTTTAAATTACGCATAGATTTCAAAATCTATGGATTTTTTTTAGAAAAATTAAAATTCAAAAATTGTCAAAATATTTTCTCGCCGTTTTTATTTTACACGGGAAGAAAATGAATATTGAGTTTTATAAAAGTATTTTACAATTTGGGGAGAAAATGCGAGAAACTGAAATTTTTATACAAAAAATACTAAACAGTGCACTCTAATTATTTCACTGTGAAATAAATTTTTCTCTCCAAAATTGCTTTATTACGGAATTAAAGAATATATATTTGGTGATTAAAGTTCCAAAGGATTTTTCAAAGTTAGTTCGAATTTTATTTTAATGAGCTTTTAAAGTTATTCTCTGTTTTGCGCCATTTTAGCAGAATTTTCAACGCGTTGAGTAGTTAAATATGTTGAGCGTTGAGTAATTAAAAATATGAACCCAGTCATAAATAAAAATTAGCATTAAAAATTATGTGGTTGAGAGGAGGTAAACATTAATATTTGCTTTACGGTTATCAAAAAAGACCTATTAACGAACTTTTCTGCACTTTTTAAGTTTATTGGTTTTCAAGTAAATTTCGCTAATATTTCTTTTATTTTTTATTTATAATAAATAAAAGAAGAGTGGAGTTAAATAAGGTTTCTAAAGTTCTACAAGTTCAAATGAACGAAATTTATTTATTTCTTCGAATTAAAATTTTATTACGCAATAATTTTGAAAGTCGCGGTGAAGTTTACATGGATTGAAAACTAAAAGTAATTTCCACTTTGAAAATATTCTTTTTCCTACTTTTTATTTTAAAAACATTCTTGATTATGAAACGTTTTTTCACGTATAAAATAAAATCGAGTTAACTGTGCTAAATCTTTTTGGGGGTTTAATTACCAATTTAGTCTCAAGCAAGGAAAAAAATGACAACCTGAAAATTATTCCACAGTATAATTTATTAATAACAAAATCGAAATAGTTTCAAGTTTTAACTTTCAAAATCCAAAAATTATTTAAATTAAATTAAAATTAATAATAATAAATTAGACTACTGAGTCGATAGAACTATGAGAATTTGTTGGACGTGGACCTCTGTAGCTCAGTGGAGGAGCAATCAACCGGGAGTTGATAGTTGGTCCTGGGTTTCGATCCCCAGCAGAGGTAGTTCCTCCACTTTTTCATAGTTTTAATTTAATTAATTTTTCAATAATAAATTAATTATTAAAATTATTAAAAGAAAACGCATCATATACCAAAGTCATGATTCGCGCATATTTGCGATTGTGAAACAAATTGGTGCCAGAGAAAAAGAACATATGCAGAGCAGTTCACACAGGTAAAATCTGGGAATCGCTTTGAATATGTCCAACAGTCTGCCTAAAAATATTTTTTTAAATTATCTTTTCTGTCTTATTGATTTTTAATCATGAAACTAAAGTTAACAAAATTTATGTAGTTTTACTCTTTTAAGTAAATTTTTTATTCTTATTCTTATTATTTTTTTCAGGGAAATTTTATAAAATTTCAACTTTCAATGAATTTAATTAGAAATTTTAAAGAACTTAGATTTTTGGAAAAATTTAATAATTCAAATTCTGCTGAAATTACTTAATTTTTTAAATATATATTAAATTAATTATTAAAAATAATGGATTTATGGGAGAATGTTAGTTAAAAACACTAAAAAAATATTGAATTTTGGAGAAGTTGCAAATTATTTCAAAAATTCAATTATATATTCAAAAATAATAAAATTTTTCTGAAAAATTCAATTATGTACGAAAATTTTTAAAAAATTCTAGTCAAAATTTCAATTATCTTGAAAAATAATAAAAATTCTTCTCTGAAATTCAATTATTTTCAAAAATTTTAATAAGATTCTTGGCAAAATTTTAATTATTTTCAAAAAAATTCCTCAATTCACTGATTTTTAATATCTAGTATTTTAATAAAATTTTTCAAAAGAATTAAATTATTTAAATCTTAATAAAATTCAACAGGTATTCAATTATTCAAAAATTTGTTGATAGAATTCTTTATGAAAATTAAATTTTAAAAAGAATTCAATTATTAAATAAATTATTTATTCTTATATTTAAAAAATTCATTTAAAAATAAATTTTAGTTAAAATTTTAGATAATAATAATTGAATATTAAAACCATTATAGCGTGAATTTTTATAAATAGTTGAATTTTAAAAAGGTTTGAAATTAAAATTAAATAGTTAATAATAATAAAATAATCTAATTTTGAAATTGTTTCAAAATTCAATTATTTCTAAAATTAATTAATTTTTAAATGGATTTTTTGTAGAAAATTCGGCGATAATTCAATTATTTAAATACAAAAGTAAATAATTTATTGTATAATTGAATGTTTCTGAAAAAGAATTTTATGAATAAATTTTTATATAATTGAATTTTTTTGACGAATTTAATAAAATTAATATCAATAGTTACATTTTTCAAGCAATTTCATTAAGATTGTAATAAAAATAATTGAAATTCTGCCATGAGTTTTATTATTTATGAAAATAATTGAATCAATTTTTATTAGAAAATTTTACAAGAATTCAATTATGTAAATATAAAAATAAATAATTGAATATTTCTTAAAATTGAATTACCATAAAGAATTTTATCAACAAATTTTTATATAATAGAATTCTTACGACGATTTTTAATAAAATTTTTAAGAATATGTAATTACATTTTTCGAAGAATTTCATTAAATTATTTTAACTGAAATTCATTTTTAAATCAATTTCAAAAGAAAATTTTTACGAGAATTCAATTATTTAAATACAAAAATAAATAATTTGTTGAATAATTAAATGTTTCTGAAAATTCAATTCTCATAAAAAATTTTGTAAATAAATTTTTAAATAATTAAATTTTTTTTGACAAATTTTAATAAAATTTTTAAGAATTTTTGATTTCAAGGAATTGGATTAAAATTGTATTAAAAATAATTAAATTAAAGGTGGTGAATTTAACAATTTATTATTATTATTATTATTATTATTATTATTATTATTATTATTATTATTATTATTATTATTTGTATTAAAAATAATTGAATTTTTATAATTTATGAAACTAATTAAATGTTTGACTAGAATTTTGTTATATAAATTTTTTATAAATTTAATACTTATTTGGAAAATATCAATTATTCAATAAATTGTTCATTTTTGTATTTAAATAATTGAATTCTCGTAGAATGGTCTAATAATAATTAATTTAAAAATGAATTTTAGTTAAAATTTTAGATAATAATTGAATTTTAAAAAGGTTTAAAATTAAAATCTTTGAAAATTTGAATTTTTCATACTTTTTTTTTACTTTCAAAATTTTTAATAAAATCCTTCGCACGAATTCAATTATTTAAAAAATTTTAATATAATTCTTCTCAAGATTTCAATTATTTAATAAATAATAAAATTCTTTTTAGAAATTCAATTATTTTTAATACAATTTTAAATAAATTCTTTGAAAAATACGATTTCTCTTAAAAGTTTCATTAAAATTCGTCGAAAGAATATTTAATTTTAAGAAACATTCAATAAATTATTTATTTTTGTATTTAAATAATTGAATTCTCGTAGAATTGTCTAATAAGAATTAATTTAAAACTGAATTTTAATTAAAATTTTAGTTAATAATTGAATTTTACAAAGGTTTCCAATTTTTAAAGATTTTAATCTTTGAAAATTGGAATTTTTCATACTTTTAACTAACAATTTTGTAGAATTAAATTCTGATACATTTAATTGAATCATTTCTAAATAATCCAAAATTTGGTAAAATTCCTAGGGAAAAATAATAATGATTAAATATTTATTTAAAAATGAAGTTATTGATGGTTTTGAATAATTTTACAATTTAAGAAATTCGCAAATAAATAATTTTTATTAATAAGAACATTTAATAAAAACATTTTTTTGAGTATCTAATAATTTTTAGAGTGAATCAGAATATTCTTTAGGATCAGGGAAAAACAAAATTAAATCTTTTTGTCAACCTAGTTCTTATTATTATTATTCTATTTATTATCTCTTATTTTTTTACAAAAATATATAATTTTAACAAACTTTATATTTTGTATTTCAGGAGAAACTGGCTACTTCACCGACAATAGTTCATCAACATACGTTTCAACAGCAATCACCACCTCAACATCAACATCAAGTACCACCACCTCAACAACAACAGCAGCAGCAGCAACAACAGCAACAACAACATCATCAACAACCCCAACAGTTGCATTTACCAATTAGTGCTCAAATGTTGAGTACCAGTCAGGGACTGGCAACAATTGTGCCCACATTGCAGCACCTAGGCTCAAATCTGAGAGTAATACCGGGCGACACAAGGCAACTCTTGGTCACCCACACCACAGGCAGTAATGATACACGGCCTCTTATTGCCGTCCAGTCGAACACTGGAAATGAGCCAAGGCCTATGGCTCTGGTCGTTCACTCGTCCACGGCAAACGACAACAGGGGCAATAACGAGTCGCGGCCGCTCATCGCCGTGCAGCAGTCCAACTCTGGAAGTGAGCCAAGACCCGTGGCTTTGGTCGTTCACTCGTCCACGGCAAACGACAACAGAGTGACGTTTGTGCATTCTAATTTGTCCAACAACGACAGGCCGTTGGCCCTCGCTGTTCAGTCATCGGCGAACGACGTGAGGCCCGTCACGTTCGTTCATTCGGGCAATGAGACTAGACCCCTGGTTCTTGCCACACATTCGCCAGCACTCAGCGCATCCAGTAAGATTTATTTCTATTCTCGCATTTCTCGCTCTAGAAGAAGGCTTCTGTCATTTTCTTTTGTTTATATTATTTATGTTCTGCAACTCACGAGACTGAATACTTTTGCTATTTTACGAAAATTTAGGTTCCTCAAGTTGACGTCGAGGCTTGGCTTCGAAAACTGTTTCTATTTTTGAGATTTCGAAATTTCTGCCGTGAAAAAATGAAATACCGAAACATTTCTTTTTGCTTTGGATAATGTTTCTTGTTTTACAAATATAAAGAAATCGAAGCTAGGAAAACTATTAAATTTAATTCAAATTATTCAAAAAAATTTCTTTCTCTAATTCCAGGCTTTGCACTCATCTACTAAAAACTATTTACTATTTTTTTTACGTTATACTATTTGAATACTTTTTTTTTAGATTTCAGCCACTAACAGCAACTATTTCTGTTTTTTTTAGAATTTCCACTACTTTAAATTCGCTAATACTAGAAATAAAAAAACTATTCTCAAAAACTATAATCAAATTCTTTAAAACGAGACACTTATTTTCAAAAAATATTCAAAATTCAATTATTTTCATAAAATTTTCCAAAAGAATTCAATTATTTAAAAAAAATTGATAAAATTCATCCAAAATTCAATTATTTTCATAAATAATAAAATTTCCACAGAAATTCAATTAATTTAGAATATCATTTTCGAAAAAATCAATTATTTAACAAAGTTTTATACAATTCATCACAATAATTCATTTACTTCCATTAATAATAACATTTATCATGGAAATTCAATTATTTAAAAAAATTCATGATAAAATTCTAAGCAAGAATTCAATTATTTTCATAAATAACAAAACTAATGGAAGAATTTTAATTATTTTTAATAGTATTTTAAATTAATTAATCGAAAAATTCAATTATTTAAAATATAATTTTCATAATATTTATAATATTTCGAATAATTTAATTATTTAGAACAATGTTTATAAAATTCTTATGAAGAATTCAATTATTTTCAAAAATAGCAAAATTTTACACTGAAATTCAATTTATTTCACACATTTTAATAAAATTTTTCGCAATAATTCAATAATCTTCATAAATAATAAAATTCTTCTCAGGAATTCAATTATCTTTGAAAATTTTAATAAAATTCTTAGCAACTATTCAATTATTTTCATTAATAATAAAATTCATCGCAGGATTTCAATTATTTTTCATACAGTTCTACAGAAATTGTTCAAGGAATGTAATTATTCTTAAAAATTTGATTTTAATTCGTCGAAAAAATCAATTATTTAAAAAAATGTTTCTTTAAAATTCTTAATTTTAAAAAATAATGTTTCAATTATTTTCAAAAATATTAGAATTTTTCATAGGAATTCAATTATTTTCAAATATTTCAATAAAATTGTTCGAAAGAAATCAATTATTTTAAATACAATTTTAATAAAATTTTTTTGAAATAATTTAATTATTCTTTGAGATTTTAATAAAATTCTTCCCAAGAATTCAATTATATTGATAAATAACAAAATTATTCCCGAAAATTCAATTATTTTGAGGCATTTTAAAAAAATTCTTTACAAAATTTAATTATTTTCATAAATAACAATATTCATCACAAGAATTCAATTATTTTTAAAAGTAATAAATTTTTTCTTTGATATTCAATTATTTTTAAAAATTATAATAAAATCGTTATTATTATTATTATTATTATTATTATTATTATTATTATTATTATTATTATTATTATTATTATTATTTTCATAAATAATAAATTGCGTTTTAGGAATTCAATTATTTTAAAAACTTTTCGCAATTCAATGATTTTCAATATCTACTATTTTCATAAAATTTCCAAACAGAATTCAATTATTTAAAAATTTTTTTGTAAAATTCTTCGTAAGAATTCAATTCTTTTCATGAATAATAAAAATTTCTCAGAAATTCAATTATTTAAATTAGAATTTGCATAAAATTAGTCGAAAGAAATCAATTATTTAAAAATTTTTATAAAATTCTTCTCAAGAATTAAATTATTTTTATAAATGTTTAAATTCTTTCATGAATAATAAAACTAGGAATTCGATTTATTATCAGGATAAGAAAGAAGTAAATATTTTTGATGAAAATTAAAAAAAAGTTAGGAATATAAAAATAATATAGAATGGAATTTTTGTCAGTTTTGTGAAGTGTCTAAAATGAGTTTTTTTGGTCATCAAGTTTAATTTTTCGATATCTACTTTTTTACTACTTTTTTTAGTTTGAAAGCTACTTTTTGCTACTTTTTTAAAATTAATTATCGAGTGCGAAGTCTGTATATTAAGAAAATAATTTAAATATTCCATAAAATTGGTTTTATAATAATTTCTTGAGAGGAATTCAATAGACAGAAAGTGTCTGTAACTGACCTTTACTACTAACACCGAAAATCCTTAAAACAATTGTCAAAACGATAAAAAATGGTAAAAATCGCCATTACCAATGAAGTATAAAATTTTCCTTTCCCCAAATAAATTTCTTCCTAATTAATATTTAGTTAATTAATTTTTCTATGATTGTTTCAGCTGCTCAGACAAGGTTAAGAACTGGCGACGCTCAAACGACACATAAAATGGTTGGTGGAGTGACACTCGTGGGTGGCAATGGATCAGAGCTAACTAGATTGCCTGGAGGAGCAGAACTGAATATTCTTCCAGCAAATGGTGTGTTCCGTTCCCTCAAGGCTCATCAACCCCTCGCTATACAAGGAGGTGACTAATATACGCTATTCGGCGTGTTCTAATTCACCGCCTTGCGTGTTAACAAAAATTTTGTTTTCCAAAAAAAAGAAATAATAATTATAGCAAACATTAAATTCTGCTTTATACAACAACAGAAAAAAAAAGAATTTGCAAGCATGAAGCAATTTTTCGTTTTTACCATTTTGAAGAACATTTCTTTTTTATTTTAAAAAGCAATATTCATATAGAATATATCTTACGACTCTCTTAACTCACATTTTATTTCCTCCTTTTTATCAAATATTTTTTACACCATTTTTACTATATTATTTTTTGTTTGCAAGTCTAATTTAACCACAAGGGGGTTGGTTTTGTTTCGATTTTTTTGGCACATTATACAATTGCCAATTTTTTTTTATACAAATGAAATTGATGCTAGAACTAAAAAATTCATATATACAAAGTGTTTATTGAAACAAATATCGCTTTGAATATGTGCGACCAATTTCATTCACTAGTTTTTTTTGTAATGAAAAATCAAATTCAGGGAATATTAATCATGTTTTTAAACACTAGTCCTCAAGTTTGTTTCGAGTCACTCGATAATAAAATGTGAGTGTTTTTTTTTGCTATTATTAATTATATACTTCAATAATGAATATAGAATTTGTTTTTTTCTACCTTGAGAACAAGTGTTTATGAATAAATTTTTATGGTAGTAAATTATTGAATAATAAATTCGATACTTAAAATCGGCGATTCTTTAAATTGTAACGAAGCTGATGTAAAACAAAGAAAAAAAAATTGTAAATAATAGTCCTGTAAGTACTCTTAACGAAAAGATGTATATTTAATATTTGCCGGGCTGTATCAATGCCTTGCATAATAAAATTATTTATTGACGAACAAGATATTATTTAGTTCTATCCACAAAATATTGGCTTTTAAAATAAGTTACAACTAACAAGCTGGAAAGCATTTTTCTGTTGACTTGATTTTAGTTGAATTTTTTTTATTATTTTTGTGTTTTTGAAAATTTTCAATCTTTTTAAAAGGGAAAATACTTGAAAATTCTCTTTTAAATGAAATTAGAAATTTGTTTAAATATTTTCTATTTTTGTATCAGATTTCTTGATCAATAAGTTAAAAAAAGAAAAATTTCCAAATGTAAAATATTGTTTTCGGAGTAAAAAACATTTTTAAGACAAACATTTTTAATACAGAATTTAAATTATCTTTTTACGGGGATAAAGTTGACATCGTTTAAATTTTCTCTCGATTTTCCTAGTTTTGTACATTGAAATAAACGAAATTTTTTTTACTTCTTTTAATTTTAATTTTTTTTATAAATAGAAAATTATTTACTATATTAAAAAATTTATTCTTGAGCAAATTTTTTAATTTTATTTATTTTTCTTACTTAATTTTGAAAATTATTTAAATAAATTTTCAACTGTTTTGCAAAATTGCTATTTAAAAAAGGAAAAATAATTAAAATTAAACCAAAATAGGAAAATCTGGATCATAAATAAAAAAAAAATAAGAAAGAGAATTTTTTATTATGAATTTCAAACTTGCCAGAGATATAATTTGCTCAATTTGATCGATTTTACTTTTTGACGAGATTGAAAATTTTCAGTGTCAAGTCAAAATATTTTGCATGCGTTTAAAGTGAATTTTAACACAGAAATTAAAGTTTGAAAAAACTAATTTTTATCGAAAGATCATTTCAAATATAATTGTCTGGATAAAAACCTTTTTTAAATTCTAATTTTAATTTACATTTCGAGATTTATTTTTCAGAAAATTATTTCGATTCAAGAAAATTTTCGACTAAAAGAATTGATAAATATAAAGGATTTTAAATTTTTGAAAGTTTAACTCAACGAAGTTTACTTATTTCTTCTTCAAATTAAATTTTTATTATCATAATTTTTGCGTCACTGTCAAAATTAATTTTCAAAGTTTCTAAATGTAGAATTTTAATTTTTCAATTTTTTTCTACTGCAATCAGTAAGTTTGGAAAATATTTTTTTATAAGAAATATTTCGTTCGTCTGAACGTAGGAAACTTGTGAAAAATCAAATTTATTGGATTCAAAGAAAATTTATAAATGGTCAAAATTTATTTATTTTCAAATTAAATTTTTATTACAAGAATTTCTTTCGTCAATGATATAAAATTTTTTCGGATTTAAAGAAGAAATTTCATGATTCTAAAGTTCTGAAAGTTCAAATGAACCAAATTTATTCATTTCTTCTTCAAATTAAATTTTTATAACAATAATTTTCCGTCAGTAGAGAAAAAAATTAATTTTCAGTTTCTACATGTAGAATTTTATTTTTTCAATTCTTTTACTGCAATCAGTTAATTTGGAAAATATTTTTTATAAGAAATATTTCGTCATCTTAACTTTCAAAACTTGTGAATTGTTCATTTCAACATTTAGAAACTTATGAAATCATAATAAATTTTTTTTTTTTTTTGACAGTGACAAAAGATTTTTTGTAATAAAAATTTAATTTAGAGAACGAAATTTATTTTTACTTCAAATTAAATTTTTAATACAATAATTTTGCGTCACTAGCAAAAAAAAATTAATTTTCAGTTTCTAAATGTAGAATTTAATTTTTTAATTTTTTTACGACAATTAGTAATTTATGAAAATATTTTGTTCATTTCAACATTTAGAAACTTATGAAATTATAATAATTTTTTTTTTTTTGACAGTGACAACAAATTTTTTGTAATAAAAATTTAATTTAGAGAACGAAATTTATTTTTTCTTCAAATTAAATTTTTAATAGAATAATTTTGCGTTACTAGCAAAAAAATTAATTTTCAGTTTCTAAATGTAGAATTTAAATTTCTTATATATTTTTTTAAATATAGAAATTTATTGATATTTATGAAAATATTTTTAATATGAAATATTTCATTCATTTCAACATTTAGAAACTTATGAATCAATTATTTTTTTTTGCCAATGGCAAAAAATTATTGTAATAAAAATTTAATTTGGAGAAGAAATAAATTTTGTTCTTTTTGAACGTTCAGACCTTTTGGGACATTTTAAATTATCGATTAAAAAAATATGTTTAAAATATTTAAAATATTTTTTGAATATAAATTTATAGAAACTTTAGTAGAAAAATATTTCTTTTCCAATTATTTGATTATAAACGTGAAATTTTCACCAAATTGTATTTTCTTCGGAGCAAAAATAATAATGGGGAAAAAATTATTTTTGTGCCTTCTATGCATTAAAGTGAAGATAAAATTAAATTCGAAGTTGTTAATTAAAGTAGAAATAAAATATTGATATTTAATATAATATTTAAACCATTTATAATAAAAAAGTCATCTTTTCTTTATAATATTTAATTAACTATTTATTTGACTAAATACTTTTTCCAATTTCGTCATTTTTGAGAAAATCGACCAAACTCCGGACAATAATAATTTGAAATGATCAAAAGAAAAAAATAAATTTGCAATACTCATTGAAATTCTGACGTTCCATAATAAAATTTGATCACAGGATTGGCCTTGAGCCACGCGGGAGTCTCGCTACAATCAGCCACGGGGAAAGGGAATTCAGCAGTGGTGCAAAACACTCCGTCCACAGAGGGAATTGCTCACATCGTTGGCCAGCATACACCACTATCGGGCCTGACGCCAATAGTCACGCCAATGGCCGTTGTTTCCCAGGGCAATCAAGTGACGGCTCACATTTTGGCGCCATCGAGTCTCGCTGGGAAAATGATAACAACGCCAATTCTCAAATCCGTGGGACCTCTTGTCAACGCTCAGTATCTAAACACCACGGCCCTCGTTAAACCCGTTGTAGTCGTAAGTTCACCGTCATCAAATTCATCGCCAACTTTGGCAACAACTTCCTGTACACAGACTTCCTCAACGTCCCACTCAAGCGTCTGACAAAATTTCCTCAATACAAGCCACGTTTGAAATAAGGCCAAATCGCATATTACAATTCTCAACATTGGATGCAAACGCGATTCTCATTTCTCTGTCTGCTGCAATTATTGTCATTATGATGATAATAATTATTCTCATTGTGACAAGAAACTAATCATCGGCAATGATTATTATTCAGCGTCTGGGTGCGGGTGTAGTAGTACGTTTTTCAAGAATTATCATCAATCTTTCAAAATAAAATGAAACTTGCTAAGAAGGCTCAAAATATTAAACGTAAATTCATAAAAAATACGTTTTTCAAAGAAAGTACAATGGATAAAGAGAAAAGTATTTAAATGATTTTTCATTCAATTTTCAGTTTCATTTTGATTCGATTAATCGCAGTTTTTTCGAATTTTGTAGAAAAAAAATAGCTGTAATCAAATTTTTGAAGATCACAACGTTCAAGAACAACCGATTCAAAAAAAAAAAAAATACTTATCCATTCAATTTTTTCTCTAAAAATTTCTTTACTAATATTTTTCAATATTTTAATTCAATATTTTGATCAAGAATCTGAAACTCGAACTGTTTAGTTTTAATTTTTTAGTTAATTAAAAATGAATTAAAATCTCGATTAAAATTAACTAAAAAAAATTGTTTTCTACATAAAAAATATTATTTTCTTTCTGTCGTTGTGAACTTAACTCACGTCAATGTTTACGAGATGAACGATTGAAGGAAAAATATTTTTCCAGCGGAAAAGAATAAAATTGATCTCTTTTAAATTATTTTGTAAAAAATGATAAGAAAGTTCTGAATGTTCAAATGAAGGATAATTTTTACCGAAGATGAAAATGTATTTTTAAAAATTACAAACTTATATGAAAAGCGACAAAAAAATTCAATTAAAAACATTATTATTAATAAAAATAATATTTACGAAAAAGGAATTAAATACGAAACTTTAAATTAGTATAATTTATTTATTATTATACTTTAAACTATTTTTTTAGTCGCAATATTATTGTAACAAAATTTGAGAAGAAATTAAATTTTCCTTCGTTTGAACTGTCGGAACTCTAGGTTTTTGATCGAAAATATGGAAAAAAATTTGTCAAAGAGAAACGAAAAGAGAAAAATTAAATTTTTCTCCTGAATCGTAGATTAGAAATGTCGCAAAATTTACTGAAAAAAAAATTTCCATTTTTGTCAGAAAAAGATTTTTACAACATTTCTTGATTAACAACTGAAAAAAGCAAAGTTTGGGAACAAATAATATTTTTTTCTAAATAAAAAGTAAATTTTCATTTATTCAAACGTTTAGAACTTTTGGGGATTTGAGCAAGAAAGAATAAAAAAATGTTGTTGAAGAAAAATTTTAAATTTTTCTTCAAAATTTGATTAGAAAAATAATTTTGTCTTCTAAATCACTGAGTATAAACTCGGTGAATTTTACAACTTTTATGATCAACGATTAAAAAATCTTTTTATTTTTCACGAGGAAAATAAACTTTTTTTGTTAAAAAATCTTTCTTTTTTAAATAATGCAGTAAAAAAAAAATTTGTAAAAATATTTTAATATATGAAAATTACAGAAATTTGTCTGGAAAAAAATATTTTCTTTTCGATCGTTAATTATAAGCGTTGTGAATTTCACCAAAATTGATTATAAAACGGTGCAAACTTCACTATAACGTAAAAAAATAATTTTGTTAAAGTTTACAATTTTTTAATCTTGTTCCTAAAATTTTGAACGTTAAAAAAACGACATTTTTTTCCATTTTCATTAAAAAGTACTTTTTTCATATTTACAAAATTGTCCCGAAAGTCTAGAACTTGCAAATTAACGATAATATTTTTTATTCCCTTTTTCAATTTTAATTTCATTTAAAAATATTGATTTTCACATTTAAAAAATTCAGTTTTCAACTAAAATAGTGTTAAATTTACATTATTTTGCATTTCAATAAAACAAGTTTTCAAAATATTTAAGAAAAAAACATATTTCGTTCATTTGAAAATTTAGGGAAACTTTAGGGAAATATTTAAAAATTAATTTTCAATTAAAATAATATTATTTTGCATTTCAATTAAACAATTTTTCAAAATATTTACTAAAAAAATTTCATTCATTTGAATGTTCAAAACTTTAGAGAAATATTTGAAAATTAATTTTCAACTAAAATCGTGTTCAAATTACATTATTTTGCACTTCAGTACAATAATTGTTAAAAATGTTTGAGAAAAGAAATTATTTTGTTCATTTGTACAAAATTTATGTTCAAAACTTTACAAAAATTTATAATCAGCAATTTAGAAGAAGAAAATTTTTTCTTTCGAATTCTTGGCTACAAAAATTTCTATATTTCTTGATGAACAACTGAAAAGGAAATTTGTAAACAAAAAATATTGTTTTTTTTTTTGCGTAAAAAGTATTTTTCCTCTGAATCGTTGATCATAAATGTTGTGAATTTCCCCACGGAAAAAATAAGTCAAAAATAATGTTTCACTACCAATAATAAAAACGAAGCAAAATAAATAAAACAAGAAAATACAATTTTTTTTTTCTATTTTTACTAAAAAATTCGAAAATAAATTCTAATCGAAAATAATTATTATTATTTAAATAATTCTGAAAATTATATGGAATTTCACTACAAAAGATCAAAAATGTCATACATTCCGTCTGTCTGTCTGTCTTTTTTTTTCGTTATTTCGGGGGATGGGCCTAAAAAAAAAATTTTTGAATATTTTTTGCGTTAAAAAAAATATCTTTTCGACTGCTCAAATTCTTCCGAAGAGAGAAAATCCTAACTTGTAGTGTTTAACTCGCAAAATCCTTTAGATCCTTGTTTCTAGAAAGATCGATGATTTTATTTGAAAACGGGTGAAGAATGGGCACAAACTGAAAATGTGTACATGAAGACTAGATATATATATATATAAATATATATTCCGACGAGAAAGCCTAGTAATTTCAATCACGAAATCAAATACTAGAGCCGAAAAAGTCTTCTTAGAAAATTTAAATAAATTCAATTTTCTGAATTTAGCATCTTATTTTTTTAAAATTAACAAAAAAAGAAAGAAAGAAAAAGAGGAACGAAAAGTATCAGGCAAATTTTTTAAGAAGCTTATTTTGGACCATTATGAACAATAATTTTTCAGATTTATAGAAATAACACGTTTTAGTGTTGAAAAAAAAAAATATGCAAATGCATCGAATTATTTGTAGTAATAATAAACTGAATATTTCAAGGAATGTGGCTTCTTTTCGGTCCATTCATAAATTGCATGTTTTTCAGTGTGAAAAAAATTGCTATCATAAAAGAAAATAATAATAACACTAGAAAAATTTATGAATGGTCCTCGTAAAATTCCTTAGTAGTTTTCTCAGTGATGACAATTTTTTTTTTAATTTTCAAATACAATCGAATTTGTTTTCTCGAGAGTACACACATTTTCTTGTAGAATTAAAAGAAAAAAAAATATTTTCTGGCTTTCAATTATTGCACTAATTTAGAGAATTAAATTTTTTATTGTTGTTGTTCATTTTTCTGAGATATCAGTATTATCGAAGAGAAAAGAATTGATTGAGAAAAGTGCACGTTGAAACATCCAGAAATCTAGTCTCCAAGTCACAAGCAGAAAAAGAGAACCGTAATTGGTCTTTTGTTCTGAAGAAGAAACTTTTTACGTTCATTGTTTTGAAGAATGTATTTACCAAAACCAAAGTTGAATCTAAACAGATGCGCGTAGATTGTAATCTTTCGAAAGTCAATTGCCATGTTTAGCAAAGTGTGTAAAAATCAATGGACATTTTGCGACCAAAAAAAAAAAAAATTGATTTGAATCAAGAGAAAAAAATTTCTCTACATGGCTTTTTGACTTGAGTTCATTGTGTAAAGAAGAAAAGAGAAAGAAAAGTCATCTTACTTTTTTTTTATTTTACCGTTTCTAATTGCAATCCTTGAAAAAAAAATATCATATCATTGTGACGAAAAGTGGATTAAATGTGTAGCTTTGAAGAAAATTTCAACTTTTGATCAACGATAAAACTATTCATTTACTTGTATGCGACTTTGGTTCGAAATACGGTGTCGTATTTCAAATTTTCGATCGAAGCGTCTGCAAGTGAAGTCAGAAAATGAATTCGAGATGTTAATTTTTTCCATTGAATGTAAAGAAAACAAAATTTTCTCTCTCGCTGGAATTTTTCATTTTTAAGAATTTACTGAAGGAATTTTTCTCTCAGAATTATTTTCTATCGATATTTCTATTAATATTTTGTTAATAAAATATGTTAATGTGACAATAATTTTTCGCATTAAATCAAATGCTTAAAATTGTCATAAAGGGTCAAAAGCAATTGATTTTTATTCTTGTCCAAATTACTTCGGAAGAGTAAAAATAGAAGTAAAAATTAATTAACAAACTGTTCCCTAAAAAAAATTCGAAATTGTTTTATTACGACTATAATCGAGAAAATTCTGCAAATAAGTTGAAAATGAAAACTTCAAGAGAAAAAAACTATTTTCTTTATTTGAATGATTAGAAATTTATGATATGAAATTATGATTAGAAATTTTCTGTTTTACAAAAAAAATATTTTCTACTGTAAAAAATCGAAAAAATATCTCAGAAAAACTATTTTTTTGTCTAATCAAATGAAAAATATCACAATAAAAAAAAAATGTAAATCTGACATATTTTTTGATTTCTTTGAAAAGAAGATGAGAGCAAAAAAAAAAAAAAAAAAAATCTATTGTCACCGTTGATTAAACTATAAATAATTGTACATTTCCCCATTTACCCCCAATTGAACACTAATGCTATTATAAAAATCGAAATTACACCTTATTTAATGTATATAATAAATTATTGGCGTATGAGAAAAAGGTGTTTTACGATCTCGTAAATATTGCGTTGTAATATTCAAGTCTTATAATGTTTAAACACGACTTATTACATTTCCTTCTTTATTTTATCAATTTAATTTTAAGTTGAATGCAAGGTGACTATAAATATTGTGAGAAAACAAAAAGAAACTTTTATTATTCATTTTTATGTAATCGGCGAAACTATAAAATAATTCATTTACCGGCGACACTTGAGACGAAAATCTTCCTTCAGTAGAGAGCAGATTCGATGTCATTTTAAAAAAAGAAAAAAGTTAAAAAAAATACATTAATCACTTGTCCGATAAAGAAACAAAAAAAAAAATAAAAATGTCTTGATACGAGACAAAAGACTAGATCAAGAGCCTGTATGAAAGTTGAATGAACTTCTTAGAAGAATTATTTCTCTAAAATACACCATCAATTCGATCATATTTATTTTTTTAATTGTAGAAAGAAATTTAATTTATGACGACGAAAGAATTTATAATTTATAAAATTTATATTTAAATTATTCAACAAAAAAAAGGAGAAACCGCAAAAACTTATTCGTAAAAAATGTAAAAAAAAAAGAAAAATTGAGAAAATTTTAGAGATCTCGTTTAATGTTTATGGCTGTGATTGTAATTTTGAATGATTTTCAAAATTTGTTTAGGCTAAGTTTTTAGCGGTGACAAAAAAAAAGAATCGTAATTTTTCGAGAAAGAAAAAATTGTTAAAGAAAAAAATATAGAGATTGATGTGTGTATTTTTTGAAGAAATATTTTTCTATGAAAACCAGTAAAAAGTGTGCGTGTGTGTGAAATGAAAAAACGTTTGCTCTTGATGAGCAATTAATCGTAAAAATATATTAGTAATAAAAAAAAAAAACTGTAAATAAAATGAGAACGCCTGGTGGGAGAAATGAAACCAGGAGGTGACAAGGAAACGGACTAGGGGCGAAATTTTCAAAGAGGAAATAAAAAACCTAGGGAGAGTGTCAATGTGATATAAATAATTAATAAAATTAATTAACATTGTAGTGAAGTTGTTTTTGAGTATAGGCGTCCGCTGCTAACCACCTATTATCTATAACTAACATCGTCAGGAATCGCAAAAAAAACAAACAAACAAACAAATAAACAAAAAAAAACAAACTGTATATAGTATACAAAAAAATGAGATAAAATCATGAGAAAAATATAATTATATTGACTATGAAAAACAAAGTAATAAATAGCAATTTTACGGCTGAGCGCTCAACTTTTTATCGCGCTTATTCTGCGTTGAGAGTCGTACAAAATGAGCGAATGTTTAAAGAATAAATGTTATTAAGCGTCTAAAAATCTTGTTTATTAATTTCTTACCTTTTCTAGACGTTTGGGAGTAGTTTTAATTAAATTTTTTTTTAATTTAGATTTTATTTTGTGCCTTTTTCTGAAAGCAATCGAATTTTATGAAGAAGAATTTTATTAAAATTTTATTTTATTGAATATAATTGAATTATTTATGCACAAAAATAATTTAATTCTTGCGAAGAATTTTACTATTTATAAAATTAATTGAATTGTTCCGGAGAATTTATTAAAATTTTGGGAAACAAATTAATTTTATATGTACATAAATATTTGAAAATAATTAAATTCTTTCGAAAAATTGAATTAAAGTTGTTTTGAAAATAATTGAATTTCTGTAAAGAATTTTATTAAAATTAAGTATATCTATTCAAAATTATGAAAATTTTTAAAAATAATTAAATTCTTTTGTGTAATTTTACTTAAATTGGATTAAAAATAATATATTTCCTGCAAAGAATTTTAGTATTTATAAAAATAGTTGAATTGTTCGAAAAATTTCTTAAAATTTAAAATTTTAAAATTTTCTTAAAATTGAATTTTATGGAAATATTTTTAAATATTTGAATTCTTTTGAGGAATTCAATAAAAATTTTTTTTAAAATAATTTAATCATTTATAAAAATAATTGAAATGTTTCGAAAAATTTATT